GCGTCACAGCTCACAGCAACCACCAGCTCTTGGGCTTAGGCGATTCTCTTGCCTCAGCCTCTCAAGTAGCTGGGACTACAGGCGCCCGCCACAACACTGGGCTATTTTTTGTTGCAGTTTGGCTGGGGCCAGGTTTGAACCCGCCACCCTTGGTATATGGTGCCGGCGTTCTACTCCCTCAGCCACGGGTGCTACCTGAAGATAATATGTTCACTAAATTTTCCTCCATTCCCCACTTCATTTTTTAGTGTGGATTTGGCTCATCCATAACATACTTGTTGAAAAGATACTTGCTCAGGATTATGTCAAGCTAGGTTTCCTTAAAGATGCATTTTAAAAAAGAGCTACAGTTCTGAGCCTTTAAGCCACTTGAATTAACTGGGGCATCTAACATCTAACTTTAAAGTTGTGTCTAACAGCCGTTTGCTGCCTAACAGTGGTCTGCCCAGGGAGGCCAAGAGCAATAAGAGGGGTTAGAAGGAGACTGGGTCTTGCCTTGCCTCCCTGAAAAGCTCTAGGGAAAACAGTAGCCTTACTGAGGAGAGTGACAGAATGCAGTAAGAAGGGTTGCTGACCCTCTTCTGTCATCTACCAGGCTACTGAAGACAAGCCCAGAACTGACCGAGTGCTGCACGTGGTTCCCTGAGTCCTATGTGATCTATCCAACTAATCTTAAGACTCCAGTTGCTCCAGCGCAGAATGGAATCCAGCCACCCATCAATAACTCAAGGACAGATGAAAGAGAGTTCTTCCTGGCTTCTTATAACAAAAAGAAAGAAGATGGAGAGGGTAACGTTTGGATTGCAAAGTCATCAGCCGGTGCCAAAGGTGAGTTGGCATTGCTGTCCCTTTCACTATTCCCTGTGAGTTCCCGTCATGCTTTGTTCAATGGCATGTTAGATTTTAATGATGCATTTAGATGAATGACTCTGTTCTAATCTGAATCATCGAGGGTTGAGTCCACACCTAGTTACATAGTTTTGAATGCCCACCTATGTTGTCTAGGTCTTTCTCTTTAGCTCTAGATCCATTGACACTCTCCCTATCTCTAAAGCTGCTTCAAACTGAACGTGTCTGACACAGAACTCTTCATTTCCTTTCCAGATTTGCCCAGCCCAGCCTGCTCCTCTTTCAAGCCTGTTCCCGCTTAGTTTATGATCCCTCTATTCACCCAGGCTTTGAAGCTCCCAAACCTGGGATTCATCCTTGACTGCACCGTTCTTTGTCATCTACACCTTTGCATTAGCACATCTTGTTAGCTCCATCTGCAAAATACATTCTGATTTAGACTTTTCCTTGAAATTTCCACAGTGCCTTCTCAATAATAGCTCCCATTTTCTCTAGGCTAATTGCAGCACCTGCCCACAGCTAGTCATCCTCCTTCCAGACAGACTGATGTTTAAAAAAAAAAGAAAAGGAAAAAATTTAATCTAATCATGTTAGTTCCTGCTTAAAAGACTTACCAGCTGGCTTCCTAATGTAATTAGAATAATCTCCAGATTCTGCATCTAGCCTGCACTATTTGACCTTTGCCTGTATCTCTGATCTCATCTTTTTTTTTTTCTTTCTTGAGACAGAGTCTCACTATGTTGCTCTGGGTAGAGTGCTGTGTCCTCACAGCCCACAGCAATCTCAAACTCTTGGGCTTAAACAATTCTCTTGCCTTGGCTTCCCAAGTAATTGGAACTATAGGCACCCACTACAACACCAGCTATTTTTTTTATTGAAGTTGTCATTGTTGTTTAGCAGGCCAAGGCTGGGTTCGAACCTGCCAACCTCAGCGTATGTGGCTGGTGCCGTAACCACAGCGCTATGGGAGCTGAGCCCTCATCTTCTATTCTCAGCCTTCTTCACTGTACTGTACCCACAAAGACTGCCTCATGTCCCTCCAATACTCTACCTTTGTCTGTGTACCTGGAATGTGCTGCTTATGTGGATTGTTTTCTGTTCCTCTCAGCTCAGGTGTTGCCTCCTCAGAGATGCCCTTTCTGATAAAGTAACTTTTTGCCCATTGCTTTCTTTCCCTTGCTTTGTTTTTCTTCTTGCAGTATCCTCTTCTTGGGACTGGATTACTTATTTGTCCATCCATCTCTCTATACAAACACAGACTTTGTGTCTTGTTCATCCTTGGACCCTCCTCAAATAATAGATATGTGTGAATGAGTGCATTGAAGAAGTGAGGTTTATATTATTAAGGCAGGCTTAATAATATAGCGGCAATGAAGTAGTGGCAATGCAATGAGTACATTAGCAGTCTCTCTCTGTGACAACCATCATTTGCTCTTTCAAAACCATTGAATTTTGAGTTTACTTCTTTTATTGCCTGGGAAGGCTATCTGGTCATTGGTACTCATTTCTATTCCTGGTCCGGTGGACCTTACCTTCTTTTCTACCACCCGTGAGACAGAAGGGCATTACCTGGAATCTCCTGAAGGAGGGAAAATTGGACTCCTGCCACAAGTCAGGGGTACTTCACCTACTTTTCTCTCCTGCCTTGTGATCTATTCTTAAGTAATGTCCCCTAGTTTGGTTCTAAAGATAAAAGGAGGAATTGGCAGAGGAAATAAACATTCATGACATTCCAGATTCCTCCTGTGGATTTGGACTTAACAGTCAGAACGGTCATTGAGAGGACACCTGGGTAGTCCCTGGATCCTCCCCAAGGCAAGAAGACTTAGAGGGACACCAAGCAGCTGGGGAGGGAGGGTCAAGAGAATAAATGGTAAACAGAGAATTTTGCTATCAAATAAACAAAAGAAAGAAAACAAGAATGATCTGTCATAGGGACATTTACTGCTACATTACACGTAAGGGCAAAATATTTAGAAATAATCTCACTGTCCAGTAACTAGTAAACAAATGTATAATTAGTTTACATCCATACAATGGGATATTTTTCTGCCACTAACATTAATTGTGATGCTAACACTAGAAACAGTGAAAATATTGACAATGTAAAGTAAAAAAGAAAATATGAGATGAGTTCACTGTGATGGAACCAGGCTTTGCCCATATTGTAAAGAAAGATAATAATGAAAAAATAAAAATAACTATGTCAGGAAATAAGACAATGGGTCACTTGTCCATTTCACTTCATTGCCATGTTTTTTAAATAGCTGTAGTTTTTAAAAGTTATGAAAATATAGATACCTTCTTATTTTCCCATTATTTTTCCAACCTACTAACATGGGGTATATTCATTTTTAATAAGAAATAATTTACATAAGGAAATAGCACAAGAGAAGTAAGGTGGGAGCATATGGGGTTAGGTTACGTAGAGCAAGACATCCGTGGTGATAGGGATAGTTTGAAGACATTAGCAGGAAAGTGATGTTTTAGAATGATTATTCTAAAAGTAGTTTGAAAAGTGCTATAGAAGAGGGGAGATTAAAGTCTGAACTTAAGAATTGGCAAGTGAAAATAAAGAGGAACCAAAAATCTGAGTGTGACTTCCAAGGGAGATGCAACAGAATGAGTCATGTGTGTGGGGAAAGAGAACAAGAGAGCTTTTCCACGTAGATTTGCAGTTTCTTGTTCAAGAGGCTAAGCAGATGGTGGAACAAGTGACAGAAACAGGGTAGTTGAGAGGGGGTTGATTTTTAGGAAAGATGGATCCTTGAATTAATGAACTGAACTGAGATGAAAGCATGAGACCTAAATGGAGATAAACTACAAATCTAAAACTCTAAAACATACAGGTGAAAAACCACATAGTTCTAGAAAAGTGAGTTCAGTAGTGTTGTAGGATAGGACATCAACACAGAAAATCAATTGTGTTTTTCAATACCAACCATGAAGATATGAAAACCAAAGTCAAAAACATAGTATCACTTACAGTCACCACAGAGAAAATGAGATGCTTAAATATTAACTTAATAAAACAGGTATAGGCTCTGTATGCTGCAAATTACAAAATGATTTTGGAAGAAGTCAAAGGGAACCTGAAGAAAAGGGCAGACATATCGTGTCCATGGATTGCCGCGAGTAAAGATGTCTGTTTGCCCCAAAGCGGTCTTTAGGTTTATTATCATTCCTATCATGTATCAGCAAAGTTTTTATTTAGAAAGAAAGCCGTTTCTAAAATTCATACAGAAAAGCGCAGGTCCTAGAATAGCTTAAATGATCTTGATCAAGAGAAGAATAAAGGGGAATTAATTACTCTACATGACATTAAGGCAAACTGTAGCATCCAGTACTCTGTTGTTGTGGAGCAACAGAAACATAAATCAATGGAACAGATTAGAAAACTCAGAAGTAGACCTAAACATCTATGTCCATCTGATTTTTGACAAAGGTACAAAAGCCATTCAATAGAGGAAGGGTAAAATTTTCAACACATGGTGGTGACTAAGGTGGATACCCAGAGACAAGGAATGACTGAACATAAACCTCACCCATCACACAAAAACTAACTCAAAATGGATTGGAAACTTACATGTGAAATGTAAAATTATAAACTTTTTGGAAAAGTACAGGACATAGAGCTTGGCAGAGACTTCTTAAACTTAACACCAACGGTATAATCCATAAAAGTAAAAACTGATAAATTGAACCTCATCAAAATAAAACTTTTGCTTTGTGAAACACCCCATGAGGATGAAAGGATGCATTGCACACTGGGTAAAAGGGTTTTTAAACCATTTTATGACGTCAGGAAATACAGTAATGTCTCAGGGTATAAAAATCAGTGCCTACAAATCAGTAGCCTTTGTATATGCCAATAACAGCCAAGTTGAGGAGCAAATCAAGGAGACAATTCCCTCACAGTAGCTTCAAAGAAAATGAAATACTTAGGAATATACGTAGGAAAAGAAGTGAAAGATCTTTTCAAAAAAGAATTATGAAACCCTAAGAAAAGAAATTGCAGAAGACACTAACAAAGGGAAGAACATACCGTGTTCTCAGCTGGGAAGAATCAACATTGTCAAAATGTCTCTTCTACATAAAACAACCTACAGATTCAATGCAATCTCCATTAAAATACCAACATCATATTTTGAAGAACTGGAAAAAATAACACTTCGTTTTGTATGGAACCAGAAAAAAAATCCATATAGCCAAGGCTATTCTTAGTAATAAAAAGAAAGTCAGAGGCATCACCCCTACCAGACTTCAGGCTGTGTTACAAGTCCACAGTAATAAAAGCAGCATGGTATTGGCACAAAAATAGAGACATACATATATGGAACAGAATAGAAAACAAAGCGATAAAACCAGTCTCTACCTGCCATCTGATCTTTCATAAACCAAACAAAAGCAAACAGTGGGGAAAAGAATCCCTATTCAACAAATGGTGCTGGGAGAACTGGAAAACCACATGTAAAAGACTGAAACTCGACTCACACGTTTCACCACTTACAAAAATTGACTCAAGATGGTTAAGAGACTTAAATCTAAGACATGAAACCATAAAAATCTTAGAATAAAGTATGGGGAAAATTCTTGATGATCTTGGACCAGGGATGTATTTTATGACAAAGACTTTAGCAGCCATTGCAACAATAACAAAAATTAACAAATGGGACTTAATTAAGCCAAAAAGCTTTGCACAGCTAAGGACACAACAAGTAAAGCAAAAAGACAACCTTCAGAATGGGAAAAGTTATTTGCAGGGTATCAGTCTGACAAAGGATTGATAACTGGAATCTACAGTGAACTCAAATTAACAGAAAAAGAGTAAGCAATTCCATTTACCTCTGGGCAAGAGATATGAACAGAACCTTCTCTGACAAAGACAGACAAATGGCTAACAAACATTTAAAAAAATGTTCATTGTCCCTGATGATCAGAGAAAAGCAAATCAAAACCATCCTGAGATATCACCTAAGCCCGGTGAGAATATTCTACATCATAAACTCTCAAAGCTACAGATGCTGGCATGGATGTGGAGAGAAGGGAACATTTCTACACTGCTGGTGGGACTGTAAACTAATATAATCTTTTTGGAAGGAAGTATGGAGAATCCTCAAAGAACTCAAATTAGACCTGCCATTGATCCTGCAATCCCATTAAGGACATTTGCACGAGACTGTTCATCACAGCTCAATTTACAATCACTAAAACGTGGAAATAACCTAAATACCCATGATCCCAAGAATAGATTAACAAACTGGCATGTGTATACCATGGAATACTAGACAGCCACTAAAAAAAATAGGGACTTTACATCTTTTGTATTAACCTGGATGGAGGGGAGATGGGAGGGGGATGGAGGGTCATGGTGTTTGGCACACCTCTTGGGAGCGGGACACAATTACAAGAGGGATTTTACCTAACAGCTGCAATCAGTGTAACCTTATTCTTTGTACCCTCAATGACTCTCAAACAATTAAAAAAAAGATTATATGACAAAAGACTCAGATCTAGAATACGTATAGAAACAACTTTCAAAACCTAACAGTAAATAACAATAGACACACAGTCCAGTTAGAAAATAGGCAAAAAATATGAAACTATATTTTATTGAAGAGGTTGTACAGATGGAAAATAAGCAAATGAAAAGATTTTCCATATCGTTAACCATTGGGGAATGCAAATTGAAACCACGACAAGCTGTCACTACACTTGCATTAAAATGACCCAAATAAGAAATGACAACAGGAAAGGATCCGTACTTGCTGGCCAGGATCTAGTGGAACTGGATCATGCTTACACCTGCCAGTGGGAATGTAAAATGGTACAGACACTCTGCAAAAAAGTTTGGCAATTTTTCATAAAACTAAACATGTAACTACCTATAATGCAGCAATTGTACACTCTTGGGCATTTGTCCCAGAGAGATGAAAACATATTCCACACAAAAACCTGTACCTAAAGCTTTGTTTTTAATAGCCCCAAACTGGAAAGACCCCAGATGTCCTTGAAGGAGTCAGTGATCAAACAAACTGGTGAACTGATGCTGTGGAATACTACTTAGCAGTAAAAAGAGTGAACTGTGAGCCACACAACTTCCTTAGCTGAATCTTCAGAGAATTGTGCTGAGTAAGAAAAGAAGATCCCAGAAGATCACATACTGTATAATTCTATTCATATAACATTTTCAAAATGACAAAATTATGGAAATGGAAAGCAGATTAGTGGTTGTCAGGGAGGGAGATGAGCGTAGCTTTAAAAGAGCAACATGAGGGATCTGGGTAACTATGGCACCATTGAAAAAGGAAAAAGATAGTTGCAAATCATCTATCTGGCAAGGGATCTAAAGAACTCATAACTCAATAATAAACATACAGTTAATCCAGTCAAGAAATAAACCAGGAGTCTGAGTAGACATTCTCCAAAGAAGATAATAAATCACCGAGAAGCACAGGAAAACATATTCAACATTATTAGTCATTAGAGAAATGAACATTGAAACCACACGTGATACCACTCCACAGCCACTAGGATAGCTATAATTAAGAATAATGATAAAGGTTGTGAGGATGTGAAGAAATTGGAATCCTAGAACATAGCTGGTGGGAATGTAAGATAGTGCAGCCACTTTGAAATACAATTTCATAATTTCTCAAAAAATTAAAGGTAGCATTACCATATGGTTCAGCTGTTACACTTCTGGGTTTATTCCCAAGACAATTGAAAATATAGATCCACAAAAACTTGTATCAAATCTTAACAGCAGCATCATTAATAAGGCTCAAACAACAATAGAAGCAATCCAAATATCCATCAGTAAATGAACAGCCTCATTCTTTCATTCGTAGAAAGGAATGAAGTACTGATACATGAAGCAACATGGATGCACCTTGAAAACTTTGCATTAAGCGAAATTAGCCAGATGTGAAAGGCCACATACTATATGGTTCCATTTATATGAAATGCCTAGGAGAGGTAAATCCTTAGGTAGAGACAAAAAGTAAATTAGCAATTGTCAGGGGCTGGGGTGAGGAGAATGGGGAATAACTGCCTCTCCCCAAAAACCCTGTATCCAAAAATGTTCTAAAATCAGACAGTAGTGATACCTGCAAAACTCTTGAATATGCTAAAACACATTGCATTGTACATTTTAAAAGGGTGAACTTTATGGTATGTAAGTTACATCTCAGTTATACTGTTAAAAGGGATATGACATCATTTACTTAATGTTACTGGACAATTTGAATGTATCCAGTTTTGTCTGTTATGCTACAGGGAACGTATTTGTACATATGTCTTTATGTCCTAACTTTGCTGGTATTTGTGAAATTTTTAGCGTTAGAAGTGATTTACTGGCAAGGCAGTGTACAGTCTGTATGGTGGTAGCCAGTAACCATTAGTAGAGTGGTGTTTAGTTAGAGTGCTTAGACACTTTCAATACCTGTAAAACTGAAATTTCATGGGTGTAGCCTGTCAAGCTAGTGTTGACAATCCTACCTTGGAAAACAGTCAGATAACAACTGTGGGCACTCTGTGGGCAGAGCAGAGAATGGGAGAGATTGGAGGAGGGTAGGGAGGGAGAAAGAAAAGAATGGGCAGGCCAGTAAAAGCCTCCTGTGGGTTTTTTGCTGTTTCCTTTCTGCCTTTGTGGAGAGCTTTTCCTCTTGGTTTGAACTGGACTCATTTCTGTTTTGCTTTTGCCCTGTTAGGTGAAGGCATTCTCATCTCCTCCGAGGCTTCAGAGCTTCTCGATTTCATAGACAACCAGGGCCAAGTGCACGTGATCCAGAAATATCTTGAGCACCCTCTGCTTCTCGAGCCGGGTCACCGCAAGTTTGACATTCGGTAATGCGTCAATGTCCATAGCTCTCGTTTTTATTCATCTGAAAAAAATGCAGTGGTGTATGGTGAGGAGGGGAAATGGAATATGAGGAAGTATTTGACTGTGATTAAGTTATTACCAAAATTGAATACAGCTCACTGGAATTGAGCATCAGCTCCTAACTGTGTTTTTCTTTTTACTAAGAGTATGGATTTTTTTTTCTTTTAATATTTTCGTTCATGAAAATGACTTGTAGGTTCAATGAGAAGAGTATAAATGCATGGGCCTGGTTTACTGAACATGCTAAGAAATGTTCGTAGAACACATAATTCAGATGTAACAGATTGCGTGCCCTGTCAAATAATTTGTCTTCACTTCATTATTTGTGTCTCATTCTTTATCGATTTCACGAACACATCTCAGGCTTTTGGATTTTAAGTTTCTGAGCAAAGGACCTAGCATGGAGAAAGAAGATGTGTGGTGCTTTATAAAACAGAACAACCCTCTCTGCCCAGTTCATCCCCAGCCTTGCTATTATCTCCTTATCTGGGGTCTGTCTCCTTGATTTCTTCATAATTTGCTGCTTCTTCAACATCAGTACTAGGTCAAATCAGCTTCAGGATGTTTCTTACTAAAAGAGCAAATGGGCTCGGTGCCTGTAGCTCCTTTAAGTGGCTAGGGCGCCAGCCACATACACCAGAGTTGGTGGGTTCGAATCCAGCCCGGGCCTGCCAAACAACAATGACAGCTACAACCAAAAAAAAAATGGCTGGGCATTGTGGCAGGCGCCTGTGGCTCAACTGGCTAAGGTGCCAGCCACATATATCTAAGGTGGCAGGTTCGAATCCAGCCCGGCCTGCCAAATAACAATGATGGCTGCAACCAAAAAAAAAATAGGCGTTGTGGTGGGTGCCTGTGGTCCCAGCTCCTTAGGAGGTGGAGGCAGGAGACTCGCTTGAGCCCAGGAGTTGGAGGTTGCTGTGAGTTGTGATGCCACGACACTCTACCCAGGGGGACAGC